AACAAGAAAAATGAGGGATATTCTCCACATGTTAAGGCTGACTCAAGATAAAAAGACATTTATTTGAGGGATATATATCACGTTTGTGCCATTTGGAAGCTTACTGACCTCACACAAGTATGTATGGCAAGCAAGTCTGGGGTGTGTGTTCACCTCCACCCCCAAGAGAAACTCCCTAGCTTCCATGGAAGAGACAAATTTATCTTGAGTGCTTGAAGAGCACCTTTCATTTGAAGCTTCCAAATAACTTTTTAGGCCATGAAATCTTAGTATTAAGCACCAGGAGCAAGAAGGGCTGCAGGCCATATAGCTGAAAACATAAAAACCTGCAGGACCTCTCCACTCTGCTGTTCACAAAACATGGGATGATAATATCCAGCAAAGCACACAAAGTATGTCTTCTGCTTCCTTGTTTTCTAAGTTTTCCTCTAGTACATGGAAAAGTTAACACCTAAAAACATGCAGAAAGAAATCCTCAACGTGCTTCTCTCTCCACATACTTAAAGCCAAGCCAGAGCCTTCTGAGAGAATTTCCAGATTGATTTCTTAGGAAGAAAAAAAAAAAGCAAAACTTATTTGTGATTAGAAGGTACAAAGATGTTCAGATGGAAGCATTCCTTAAAAGCAAGGGGGAAACTACCCAATCAATTCATTCAGCTGCCCTAAAGGATAAAGAGCACACTTAAGCACCATGTACAAATCCTGACTGTTATTAACAGCTTGATCAAAAGCAGTTGTTTTATGTAGTTATCTTTGTACTTGTGAAATCTGATAAACTAAAAAAAAAAAAGAAGTTCAATGAACTCTGACACCAAAGCAAAAAGGGGAAAAAGGAAGAGGAGGTCACTTCACACTACTGCTCCCTATGTGAGGTTCAGGTCCCTCACTTGGAGAAAAAAATCGCTGGAGAGGTTGTTTCAGCTGGTGTCAGAGTGGGCACTCCTGGAAATAAAGAAGTTTTCTGGGTCTCAAATGCACCTAAAAGGCAGACAGCTCACATTTACAAAACTTTGTTTAGCAGCCCCCCCAAAAAACCCACCTTTTCAAAGCTATCTGTCAGTAAGGCAGGTTTCTGGAGTTGTCAAAATGTCTCAAGAATAAAAGCAAAGCCATTTCTTAAGTAGGGAAACCTCCCTTTTCAATACCAGGACCCCATAAGGTGAAGGCTACATATCCCTTCTCTCTGTAGCTATGAGCTGTGGCATGTGTATTGCTAAAGCAGAAGGTAACCACTTTTCCTCCTTGCTTCTCCTGAGGAGACCTTCTCCTCCCTGCCTGCAGACAACAAAACCTCTCTCCATAGCCATGCAAGGCTAAACATTCCTCTCTCTTCTGCAACTTGCAGAGCTGCTTCAGCCCACAAATATTTTTTGCCTTTAAAAATATTTAAGATAGTTTGTGTTTTTTTGTTTCACATGTTGTAAATAGGAGACTGGGGAGCTGCTGACTTGCAGTAGCAGTCATAGAAGGATTTGTGGCCAGGACAAAGCACCCTTAGGCAGGAGATCTGGTTTACAATCCCCTTTCTAGTGCAGGCCTCTGGAGACCACAGGTAGGTGCATAACTTGGGAGGGGCAAAGCCACACGGGCTCTTCAAGGAGAGGTGCCTCCAGCAGTTTCCCAGCCATAAAAATTCCTGCTGCTCCTAGCTGAGGGCACAATAGGTTTTCTTTAGGGTAAGGAATAATCCTGATTCACAACAGCAGGGATGATGGCAGGGTGCTGTGAAGGATTTAGTCCGTTGGTGTCTGTAAACAAAGATTTACTAGTCCTCAAGCTGCAAATGGGGCAGGGAAACCCAAAATGAAAACCCTTATGAAGATCTATCATCGGGCTGTCAAATATATTCCTAGACTCTTCCCCCAAGTGACCTGCCAGAATTGGAGCCAGGTGACCCTGCTGCTGTTCTGAGCCTGAGACCACTACTTTTGACACTGCCATTTTTAACCACCACTGTCACATGCAAGCCTGAATTTGCTTTGGGCAGCGAGGTGAAGAGGGAAAACCCTTCCTCTTCCTCTTTCCTCAGGCCCTACTCTCACTGTTGTGCTCCAAGTGGAAGTTTCACTTTCCCCAACGTTTTTACTTTTGACAAAGAGGGGAAAAGTATTTATTTTCTCTGCTGATGGCACAATCTGAACACCTTTGTTAATAGGACTGTGTTGTAAATCTGCCTGCAGGCAATGTCCACGTGGTGTTAACTTCATTTAAAATACGCACCTATACCAGACTTTATACCCAATGAAATCTGCAGTCCCTTTTCGTCTCGTTTTATATACCTTTCTCAGAGAAAACATAAAGCTCCCTTACAGGCAAACAGAATGTGAAAGACAATAATAAACCATTTAGCTAAATGCCAAGCAGAAATAGCTACAATCCCGTGCAAGCATAAAGCACCATTAATCATTTACATCAGGAAATACCAAAGTGAGGGTGAACACACACAACCTTATCTGTGCCTTGTGTACACATGGAGGTTACAAGCATTAGTTACTTGTGTGCATGACACACGATGGCTAAATGGGATTCTGCTCCTTAGCCACAGGCACTGACTTCCTACAGCTTCCAAAATCTCTGTGTTCACTCACTACAAGTGAGTTGTAGCTAAAAATGTTGAGAGCTGCTGCTGCTTCATCTTGGAGCATTTTTACCAGCACTGGTTTAATATCTTCCATTGAAAGGGGTGAAATTTGTTTCTTGTAGAACATCATGCAATGCACTTCTGCCTCAAATTATGCATTTCTGCCTACCTTGAATGATATATTCAATGACCACCTCTCAAACCCCGGAGGGAAAGCTTTCTGGTAGTGTCTAAACACTGTCAAGTTACTTGATCCTCTGTAGGGATATGTACAAGCAACTGTACACATTGTTTTTCTAAACAGGATTCCAGAGTAACTTTTTTGGAGAGATTTCCTTCCAGTGTTCTCTTGTATTCAGAGTACTATCAGTTTGGGTTGTGGCTTTGGGGGGAGTTGCAGGGGTTGTTTGTTTGGGGCTTTTGTGGATTTTTTTCTTGTTTTCAACTCTAAGAGAGAAGTTTTTCCCCAGATAACAGAAACCAACTCCCATCCAGTACCTTGCCATTACAGGTAGGTATCACAAAGCCCTGTTATGAATTTACCAAGCTTCAAACAAAGCCAGTCAGTGTGTTCAGCTAAAGACCTTTCATGGAGTCTCTCTACAACTTTCTCTGAGATTTATTCCAAAGCACTCCTGAAAGAGCCACAAATGGATCCAGTAAATCTTGTGCACAGAAAGTCTCTTGGCCATCTCCTGTGGGGTATACTTCAGGGTTTACTTTGACCTCTATGAACTGATCTTTATTTGGGTGGTCTTGAGGTGGGAGGTACATGTGTGAATCTGATTACATGGAACTGAGATGCACAAGCCTTTTAAGGTGGGGAAGGGGAGCAAGAGAATTTCAGGAACATTGCCACTGAGTAAAGATAAAGAAACACCCTGAGACAGTCTCTTTTTTTTTTTTTTTTTTATCATTACAGGTGAGATGGAGAAGCTGCACAGGCATACCACTGAAACCCAAAGAACTAATCAAAAGGTGAAGTTACACGGCTGATCTAAGAACCAACACTTTTAAAACACGTGGACACCCTGCAGCCTCCACTTCCTGCTCTGTTTATTTATTTGCGGTCAGGTTAGTGAGCAAAAGTGGTTCAGCACAGGGTCCGACGTGTGGCAGGGCTGGGAGCAAAGCAGCAGTTCCCCTTCCGGCACTAGCAAAGTTCAGTTGGCTCCGCTGGGATAGATGCACCATTGAGACAGTGTGCTGTATGTTGACACACACGTTAGCTGATAACCTGATAAAAGGGGGAAAAAGCACAGCTCATGGATTTAGTCAGGGTTTTTAACACAGCTTTCCACAGCAACGGAAGACCTGACAGCTGTCCTGAACAAGCTAAGTACAGCATCGAAGTCACCTCGCTCCCCCAGCCTGAGCCACCCCAGGGGCACAGACAAATGTCCTCTACAGAGCTATCTGTATCTTTCTGGTGAGAGTAAATCTGTCTGAGACAGGATAAATGCCCTGATAAACTGCAGAAAGCAAGCAACAAGCACCCAAGTCTTGATTATAGCCTGTCATCAAGAAAAGCACCGAATTTTGGGGGGGGGGGGGGAATATTATGAGAGGCTTAGTATTTAATGCTCTAAAGTTGTAAATCCACAGCAAATCCTCCTGGGTTTAAATATGCCTAAGACATATTTTAACTTATTTTTGCCCAAATGCCATCTTCTGCTCCCAAACAAATAAGCTGCACTGTTACTTTTGCTTTCTCAGGGTTCTGCAAATGAGGTTGCATCCAGCACCTCGAGTGCCCTTCTGGCATCACAAAAGCTCTTTCCAATACATAGTAAGCAAACCATTTATTTGTATTCATCTCCCCTTTTAAACTCAAATAACGCAAAAGAGTCCAGCAGATTAAAGCAGATATAAGCAGTATCTTTTTAATGGGTGGTGAAAAAAAAGTTTGCCCTAAAATTATTCATGCTACTGAGGCATAATTTTACCACTTAAAAACAGAATGGCCCAGCAAAGGTTTCAAAAACAAGAAAAAAGAAATACACCTCCCCAGTTGTGCACACTGTCTCTGAACAAAAAAAGACAGTGGCTACTGTGATCTACCTTAGTTTTTCTTCTTGGTGTTATAGATTTAAATTAAGTAAAGACTTATCCAGTGTGGAAACAAATTTTTTCTCCAGTGGTGCCTTTTTTATTTTACTGCCAGAGTCTGCATACACCTTGGGATCATTTTCTTGCTTGTCTCTTATAAAACTGGTGTGAAGACTAAATATTACTGCACTTGGAAAACTTGGTCAAAAGCCTGCCTCCGTTTTTGCAAAACCAAGATTGCTAATGAAAAACCACTGCAGTCCCGATGGGAAAAAAAAATAAATAAAATCCCAGCTTATCACATGAAATGGAAGTTTTATAAACACCTTTTGAGGGAAAGAAAACAAGTAGCAGCCGTAATATCACTTACTTCCAGGAGAGAGTTCTCACTGCAAATGTGAACTCCTACAGACTGTGGATGGGAAGAGGAGAGCCATGCACAGAAACTAAACTTGACCAGTCGTCCCTTCCAAGCCAGGCAAATGAATGTCTGACTACACTACATTCCCAGAGCATGGTGCTTTACTGGCAGCAGCGCTGCCACCATGATATGGAAAAACAGCCTTTAGAAACGAAAACAAGCTGTATCAGTAAAAGTGCACTTTTGCAGATAACTGCTTCTACAGCTAGGACTTCTGCTGGCACAGCTATGTCAGTCACGGGTCACACTTCGTCACAGAGCTTGCAGACAGAGCTGTGCCAGCAGAAGTTTGCCATACAGACATGGTGAGAAACTCAATGGTGACTAAAATGAATGTGCAACGTTCTGTGGTTTCCATACTGCTGCCAAACTCTGTTTTTCTAACTGTCTGGTGATGGGTTGTCTTACTTCAATGCTGGTGGCACATTAGGACCTCAGCTTTCCAATGACAGAAGAAACCTAAAGTTAGTTCAGGAATGTGGCAATACCTATCAGCCGTTTACACTGCACTTTATCCTTCAATTAAATATACAAACTGAACTGGAAAGAGTGCCTGTAGGAAGAAAAGATGAAATGGAATAAATTAAATTCTGCTGTGCTTCAGCACTCAGACAGCCCTTGCTTTTAGTGCTAAGAGAACAAAACTGAAAGTGTTTAACGGGATTTGTTTAGCAGACAGCAGAGCACTGCAAAATTGCCAGTGTTCAGTTAAACTGAACAATCAATCTGTAACAGGGCTTTTGTCATCTTCAATCACCTTTGAAGACAGGGAGCAAGGAGATTTAACGCTGGAGTTGATGCTCTGACATAAGCTCCGTTTTGGATGAACTGGGCTGTGTTTCAGAAAAGCAATGTTTGGCAGTACAAATTTCACTGTCGCTTCTTATTTTGATAGGGAAATAAAATCACTGGCAGTGCTGTATTTTTAAATGCCATGCTCAACCCTCATCAGAGGTTTTTGGCCCTCCAAACTGGGATACAGCTTCTAGGAATTCCTTGGGTTGTGTCACAAGGAAGATTTTGGTGTTACAAGTAATGTATTTTTTAGGGAGGGAAACACCTCAAAGGAATGTCACGGGCTAAAATTAAACACATTATCATCACTTTCATTATCAACCACGTCTACACGCACAGGAAGTATAACCATGAGCGACTTTGGGATGAGGTGTTTTCCCCTCCAGGTTAGTTTTTGGATGCACGACAGCGCGTTTGTGCTCGGTGTCACAGGGAGGGGATGGCACAGGTATGAAATGAATTGTAGCAAACCCTCCTGCTTGGACAAGGCCATCTAAACTTCCTATCAGCAGGCTGGCTCAGGACAAGCTGTAACTCCACAGAGCAAACGCTTAGCAAGCCTATTCAAAGTTTCAAAAACAGCCTGATAAAACCCTACTTGCCGAAAGATTTCAGAAGGTCAGATAAAACTTGGAGTGGCCATGAAAGGCAGGAAGCAACCAAGCCCTCCGCCATGTTTACCGAAAGTACTTAAGTTTAAAACGCAAGCCCCAAACTGTTACAAAAACTCAGTGTTTAGGTGCACTGTTTTATCTGCGAGCACCACTGCCGGAGCTGGAAGCCCAGCTTTTATTGCAGGTGACATTCCTGCCTGTCTTCCTCATATGGGACCTGCTGTGGAGTACCAGGCAAAAGCGTCCAGACCTCTGCCTTCCCGAAAAAACATCCCCCAAGCCCCTCTGTGGGGTCATCATGTGAATGTCCCACCATAGGATGCTGGCCAACGCAGAAGGGACTGGGGCCAAGTGCTTGTGCCATGGCCCGGGGTCACCCCACTGCGCCCAGCCTGGGCTATGGGGTGACCTGGCATCCCAAAAGCAACTCGGGGGAGGGCTGCCAGTGCCGCCGCGGCCCAGCCTCCAGGGACCCCCGCTTCCTCCTCACGGGGAGGACCCTCCGGGTCGCCCCTCGCCGGGAATAAACCCGCAGCCCCCCCCCCCGCACCGGTACACACGGATCCGTGTCCCTGAGGGCTCAGAGCGGCGGGTCCGAGGCGGCCCAGGCCGCGGCAGCAACCACGGGTGCTGGCCCCGGTGCTGGCGGGGCCCGACATGGCGGCGAGGGCCCGCTCCCCGCCTCCCCCGCGCCCCGCCAGGCCCCGTCGGGCCGCGGCACTCACCTGCATCCGGCGCGGCGGGGCGGCGGGGCCGGCGGCGGCGGCAGGGCGGCGGCAGGGCGGCGGCGGCGGGCAGCAACGACATGCAGGCGGCGGCCCGCCGGGAAGCGGGACCGGGCCGAGGACGGAGCCGCGGGGCCGGAGCTCGGGCGGCGCGGAGGGCGGAGGAGACGGAGGAGGGGGCGGGCACGGGGAGGCGGGAGGCGGGCGGCGGGGCTGTGGCGGGGCCGGCGGGTGGGCGGAGGACCTCGGGTACACGGTGGGTCCTGTCAGCGCTCACAGCCGGTGTCGATACCTGCCCGCGGCGGGGGACGCAGCACCATCGGCCCGGAGGACACCGGCATTTCGTCGGAGAGGCCTAGGTTGGGACGACACCTCGGTTTTACCTCATGATTTTGGTAGCGGCAGCCAGGAGCCCTCTCCGGAGTGGGTGCTGAGGAGGTGGTGGTCCGCAGGTGGGAGCCCCTTTCCTGGGAAATGCCTTTCAGTGCCCAGATTTCAGTTGTACAGAGCCCTGTGAGACAAGGGATGCTCTTCTAGGCAGCTGAAGCAAGGAAGCACAGGTAAATATCAGAAACCTATCTTCCCCCAGACACACCAAAATCCCTGTGGTGGCTGTTTCCATGTTCAATGAGGAGAAATGTGGGCCTACTGAGAGGGAGAAGTGGATTGAAGGCTAAAATAAAAGCATCAGTGAGGGGTGGAGAGAGCATGTAGATCTTTGCCTGTTGGCCTGTGGGGCAGCCCAGTGCTGGGGATATGAATAAAGCACCAGTAAAGTGGAGGGAGGCAGCTGGGTGATCAGCTCCAAGAGCCTTTTTATTCAAACTTGCTTTCTGCTGCAGCTGCCTGGAGTCGTGCTGGCCTGAAGGAGGTCGTTTATGCTGAGAGAGCAGGAAGTGCAGAAGGAGTGAGGGGGTTTGATAGGAAATGGGCTGCAGAGTGAGTGAGTAATCAGGAATGGGAGCCCGTATTTCCCTCCCAGGTCCAAAATCCATGACCCACATCAGGACTTTGTGTCTAACAAGTCGGAGGCTCACAACGGGATTGAGGAGTTGTGGAGGAAGGCTATGGAGGGTGCAGGTTGCTACCTGACCACGGGTGCATATTAAGCAGTCACGCAGCGAGTCTTGCATTACATGTGCCATCACTACAGGAAACACATCCCTAACACCCAGCAGAAAAGAACCCCTTCCCCCAAACCTGTTCTGCCTCTGTGCTTTAACACTTCTTCACTCCTCAGTGAGACTTTCTAACAGAGGAGTTGGGTTCTTTTTGCTCCTGTCACCCTCACACCTTTCCGTTTCGATCCGTTCCCAAGAAATTGAGTGTATAGTTACATTGGATGAACATACCAGTTTCATTACAACTTGTTTTACGTATGCTCATACATCTGACTGACATTTAACTGTTCTAGTTCAAGAGGCTCCCTGCGGTATCAAGGAATGAGGCATAAACAGCTGACAGCTACTGGCTCTTTGCAGCGCATGAGGTCCTTACAGAGGCAATGTGAATCATCCCTCACCACAAGGAAACACCTAGCATCATTGACAGTCAGGTTTCTTAAAAATATTTCCAAACAAACCAATGGATAAGGCAAGCCTGAGCTCAGAGATTGGATCAGGAAAGATCTGATTGAATTTAGAGGATATTCTTGGACACACGTTTATCAGGTAGGGCAATGAAACTGCTGGAGGTGGGATGTGTCTAGTCCAAGGCATGCCAGTGTGGCATAGAAAGATCTCCTTTAGTGAGTGTGCATGTAGCAAGAGGCGGGATTATAGTTTACAGCACCTATCTGAACATTTCAGGACCCAGTTAAACCAAGTCCTTCACGCACAGGTGTGTGGATCAGGCAGGTCTTTTCCCATTTGCAAGTGAACAAGAGTGACGTCAGGCAGAAAACCTCTTTCTTGAGTTTCATGGGACTCACAGCAAAAAAAACGTTTAGGGGGAAGCAGCCAAGATGAACCCACACGGATGTTTATTTCGGATAGAAATATGCCAGTTTCCTGGGGAAGTGTCTCTGTCTCTCCCTCAGGAGAGGCCCCCCTGTTGGGTGTCTCTGAGGCAGGCCCTGCCCAGTGAACACCGTCTGAGCACAAACGTCTGCTGTATTCAGCCCCAATTTGTACTGAGGCGGCCTTTGAGGCCGGTTAAGAACCGTGCTGGAGACTTTCAATCAGGCTCCCCACACCTGTCATAGGGCACAAGCCAGAAAGGGGGATCCGCGGAACGGTGGGTCCCGGTTGTGGCGGACGGGGGGCGTCCTGTAGGTGACGCCGAAGGGACTTCCGGTTACCGCTGGAAGCACTCGATCTCGGCTCCGGGGGACGCTTTCCGCGTTGCACCGCGGTGGCTGTGCAAGATGGCGGCGCACGCTGGCCGCTGCCTGTGTAGAGGTGAAGGGGCCTCGCGGTTTCTCTCCGCCGGGAAGGCGTGTCGGCTAGTGGCTCTTTTCTTGCTTTAGCCGGCGGGTTGCCCCTTGCCCGTGGTGTAGGGCGGCTCTGAGGGATGGTGGGGTGCCAGAGCGGGCACTGTGAGGCGAGGGAGCCCTGTCTGAGGTGATGTTTGCTTTTCCTTCACAGTACTGGCGCCTCATCGCGGGTGGATCATTTCTGGGCTTGACCGGCGCCTTGCTGCCGCCTCTGCCATGGTGACCACCGCGCCGCCTGTCCGGCTCTACGCTGCTGCCGCGAAGTGAGTGTGTCTCCTTCTGTCCGAAGTGGCTGTTGTAGCTCTCGGGGGTCTTTTAAGTGGTGGCTGAGGAACGTGTGTGGTTTCGGTGCCTGCAGCGTTGCTGTCACAGCCGAGCTGGCCTTGGTGGCATCCTGCAAGCTGCCAGCTCTTGAAGAGAGAGCCTGGAGAGAGGCGTTCTGAGCTAGACAGTTTTACTTGATATTTTTGTTGTGTGCTTTTGGAGGGTACAGTTGGATTACAGCTCAAGGAGTACTGCCAGTATGAAAGCTGGTGAGTTTATGGAGCTGGCTTCAAACAGTTCCTCTTCTTGCTTTAAGTTGCCTTTTATTGTTTAATTTCTTGTCGCTTTAACATTACAATATAAGTGGGAAAAATAAAAATTATCCCTGTGTACTGGAGAGTTAAGTGTGTTTGTATCCCAAGTGTTCTGAAGTGTTGGGAGACTTGTTCACCATAGTTAACTAGAGGAATGGAGTACCTGACTATTACTTTGGGTTGTTTTTTTTTTTTTTTTAACTTGATTTGGGAGCCCTTGAAAATAGGAGGATAAGGGTTTGGGCTGTTGTTTGTTAACTCCATGCTAAACGATACAGGAAAAAGAGGAAAAACCTTTTTAGGAAAGTAGGGCTGCTGTAATCTACTGTAATAATATGGAAAGCCCTTCAGATGTGGCTTCTTATTATCAAGAAGGTGGTTGGGAGTTCAGTTCAGAAGCAGCTTGGGCACAGTGCCTGCTACCAACTCATGTGAAAGCAAGACCTGTGAAAGCTGGTGTGTTAATCTTAACTGGTTTTGCTCTCATACAGCAAGAGGTCCTAATTTGGTTTGGTGCTGCACAAGTGTGGCTGTGTTGTTTGAGAAGCTTAATTGCTTTCAGACCTTTTGGTTTCTGAGGGTTTGATTTCTGTCTTGACATCTGAGACAAGTAATTGGGATGAATTTAGGGATCCTGTTCATCTTTGCGTGGGACCTCATTAACTAATTGTTACTTAAGAAGTAACATACAGCAATATATACTTTTTTGTTCAGGAATATGTGCCAAACCCATCAGTTGATGATCTAACAATATTTTTTTGTCTCAGACCTGCAAACACAAGTTCACAAAAGACCAAGCAGGAAGAGACAAAAAAGAAACAAGTACGCAGGAGGCGGCCACTGATGACTAAGCCTGTGGATGATGTCTACTTGACGTGGCATTATGAGCGCCCATCCTATGAAGTGGAAAAGGCTGTGGGGATGCTAAAGAAATTTCAGGAACTGGACTTCACTTACCCCAAACAGTTTGTCTATATTAACGTGTTCCTAGAT